TAAAGTCTGGTAACAAAATGATAGATTGTTAACTGCGCCTCCTCTCTCAAGTGTCCAATCTGAAGTGTTATTCTTTTCCCTGCCTCATGTTTTCTCACCTTTCACATTTAAAATAGGTTTTGTTGATGTTTCCTTTCTGTCAGGGAGGTAAAATCCCCATCCGCTGGACCGCCCCAGAGGCCATTGCATACAGGAAATTCACTTCAGCCAGCGACGTGTGGAGCTTTGGTATCGTCATGTGGGAAGTCATGGCATTTGGAGAACGGCCCTACTGGGACATGAGCAACCATGAGGTATGTTTCATCTGTCGTGACCCTTATGGCTGTGATGACTGATTGTTTCGGTCTSTGTTGGGGATGTGGTGAGAGAAGGAAGCCTGATTAGCAGCGTGTAGTTTCTTTCCAGCTTCAGCAACTCTAAATGTCAACATAAGACACACAGAAGTGGATTGAGCTGCTGCTTGTTCAAACTGTTGGTCATGAACATTCCTCAAAGCTGAGCTCTGCCTCGTTCCCTTCCTCAGGTCATGAAGGCTATCAACGAGGGTTTCAGGCTTCCTGCTCCAATGGACTGCCCTTCCGCTATCTACCAGCTCATGCTTCAGTGTTGGCAGCACGACCGCTCCAAACGGCCTCGCTTTTCAGACATTGTTAACATTTTGGACAAACTTCTTCAGAGTCCAGAGTCTTTGAAAACCATCGCTGACTTTGACCCACGGTATGGACTTTATTTGATTATAAAGGACATGGCTGGGGAAATATGTCCATAAACAGTGTGACTTTTTCTTTGATAATTGTTTCAGGATTTTTCTAAAATCACGATTTTGAAATGAATCATCAGAGAGAATAGTCAAAGCTAGTTCCCAACTTTACAACTTTTGGTTATAATGACAATATAACGGTTTTCATTCAGCATCAAACTGAGTGAAGTCCTGAAAAATGCTGATACCTATTGTTCTCCACAGCGTGTCCATCCGCCTGCCCAGCACCAGCGGTTGTGACAACACCATGTTCAGATCAGTGTCCGAGTGGCTTGAATCCATCAAGATGAACCAGTACAACGAAAGCTTTGCCCGTGCAGGGATAACCACCATGGAGCAGGTGCTCGCGCTCAGGCCTGAGTAAGTGCACACATGGCACACATGCTGCACCGATTCATCCAACAACAGGCCACATTTTTATAATTACTCGGATCATTTTTTTAGCTCTCAGCTCCAACATTTGTTACTCAGTTTGTGGATGGAGGCTGTTCCCATTCCTCTCATTCTWTGATACCAAAGTGTTATTTGAGTAATTTGAACTATTCATACTTGACTCATAGCTAAATGATTATTCAATGTGTTCAGTGGGGGTGTGCCAAMAAATCTATTCACATTTACAATGACTCAGAATCAATATAAAATCTTCCGAAATCAATAAAAAAACTAAACAAAACAAGAAATTTACCCAGCTCCGTTCATGCCCCAATCATGAGGATTTCTTTTCACACCAATTAAAGCAGAAATCATTAGGAATCAAATCGTTTGGAATCAAAAATCAATTTTTAATTGTGACCCCAAAATTCAGAATTGAATCGAATCATGCTACAGTGAAAGTGTTCAGCCTACTGTTTAAATAATTCAAAAATGTAACTATTAATGCGTCTCTAACGTATGCTAAAGGTATTTTGCTACTAAAATAATTAAATTAAAGATTAATTTAATGCTGTTTTTTTTTTTTTGTCTGTGTTCAGCGCTCTAAAATAGTGTCATTTGTTTCCATTTAGGGACATCAGAAATATCGGGGTTCGGTTGCCCGGTCACATGAAGAGAATAGCTTACAGCATCCTGGGCCTGAAAGACGAGACCAGCTCCCTCAGCGTGTTTGCAGTGTGATCTAAGCATTCCTTCAAATCAAAGTGCACTGACAGACGAAGCCATTTCACTCATGGACGATGAGGACTGAAGTGAGGGCTGAAACTGAGCCTCACTGCAGACTTTTTTTTTGTCTTTCTGTGGCACGGAGTCGCAGCGTGACTGAAGAGAACTCTCCAATCTGCTCAGACTGGACTGAGACTGCACACATTCATGTAAAAATATTAAAACAGAGGACAATAATTTATATAAGAACCTATAATGATCAACAAAAGCAAGTTATATGATAGTAGGAAAAAAATAAGTGCAAAATGTGAGAGTGCTTGTCACTGACTGAAATATTCAAGGCTCTTTATGATTAAGGGGATCTTATTCAAAGCACTCACTGTATCCTGCCAGTCTGTTTATTCTACTTTTTGTGATTTTTTTTTTAAAGACTTGCTTTTTAATTGCAAATCTTTCTTCCACTCAGGGCAAAAAGAAAAAAAAGTCACATATTCTTATGTTTCCAAGTTGATGTCTTTATCACACATCTTCATTTGTTTGTTTACATAATGTCTTAATGCAACTGACTGTTTTTATTTAATATTTATTGTATTTTATATTTATGCCATTTGTTATATAAATGACTCAGTGGTTATATTTTTGTGCCAGAATAAAATTAGAGGTGCCTTTTGGCCAGGAGTTTCTTTTTATTATTATTTCTTCACAATCATCCAGATCTATTGAATTTATAATTGTACTTTTGACTTTATGATTCACCTGATGTATAACATGTCARCAGGGACTCCCAGACAATGTTTACTTCTGGTCCAACAGACCTTGACTGGAGTTCCTTTAAGGAAATGTCAGACGGACTTTAAACACTGTAGTGCAGAAATGGCAGAATGCAGGTAGAACTGGACAGTAAAAAAAACTATTTTTATAAGATTTAAAAAAGAAGCTTCAGGGAAACTTTAGATTTTTCTCAAAAATGAACCCTGCTTTTCTGGTTTTGTGGAAAAGTCTTCAATCGTCTATTTTTAAATATGTATATTCTTTTCAAGCAGGAAGACATCATTTAAAGTGGTTTTGAAAAATACAATAGTTTTCAAATTTTGTAATGTTGTATTTGGACTTTGGTTGACTTTTCACTCATTTTCAATCCAGTGCTCGATCATTTCTTGGTAAACTTAGCTGTGATCAATCATTCGAGCATGAACCAAAAAGATGAATAAATCGACACATATAAAGGCAGCATAGACCATTTAAACTAAACTTTTTTGGCAGATGTCAGCAGTCTGTCACAAAGATGTAATTTGTTCCAGTTTCTTTGATGGATCTATAAAAATATCAGATAACAGAGTAACACAGCTTGACACATAAACTGGTTTAGTATTTTAGCACTAATAAGAGGATTCCTGAAAATCTGTAGGGTTAAAAACATGATTAGTTGAAGGATCTTTCAGGTCTTTGTTGGACTGCATTTTTTTTTTTACATTTAAAGACACAATAACTTAATGAGCATCTGTCACTTCTTGTTTGACCTCCATTTGTCCACTTTCTTCACTGTTTTTGAAGCACAGAACAGAAAACAAGTAAAAAAAACGTACATCATGAAATTTTTTTTATTAGACTATTGATCGATACCACTATTGCCCCTTTTCCACTGGTACCACTTAGTGTAGTGTCGTACGGTTCCAAGTCATTTCCATTAGGTCAGATCCATGGAACCGGCACTTTTTTTTAGTACCTACTGTACTTCATTGTGGTTCCAACCGGCCCCAGCTGACACCAAAACGCGATGTCAGAACACTGTCCGTCACTGATTGGCTAAATTTTTGCAAATGTTTAAAATTTCAAGTTATTCATCAAATGTGTTTCCATCTCTCATTTTGCCCATTAATTTTTTTTTCAAAATACCTAAAAACCACCAACACCAACCGCCCAAAACACACCGATTGGAACCGGACTGGAACATCAGTGGAAAACCAACCGTTCCGACCCGTACCTACACCGACCGTTCTGATACTACACTAAGTGGCACTAGTGGAAAAGGGGCATAAAAAAGCCAGGCTTCTTGAAAGAGAAAATTTTAAAAAATAAAAAGTGAACTTTTGCTCCAGTACTGTTGAACTGTAACCGTTTTGTGACCAAGATGTTCCACATGTAAGACAAACCAGGTAATGTGAGAAATTAGATGGTAAAGACTTGCCCAACTTATTGCTGAAGGGGTTAGAGACAAAACAGTTTCTGAAACTGATCAGAATCTGACACCTGAGCTAGCAGGGTTTAGTTGCATTACAAATGCACGTAGTACTGTATTTTCTGTTTGGGCTTTAGGATCACCTCCCAACCTGGAGCCAATCTGGATGGAGTTTGCATTTTCTCCCAGTGGGTTTTTTTCTGGGTTCTACAATTTCCCCCCACAGACCAAGAAACAGTAGCCTGGCCCCTGCCTTCCTATGCAGTTCCACCCAATTCTAGTAAAGTGAAGAACAAGGGGCTGGTTTTTACCAGGCTAAAGAAATATGCATTTTAGATTATTTGGTTACTCCAAATTGTCCATAGGTGTGGGCGAGAGTATGAATACWGTTTGTCTCTAAGGGCTGGAGGAAGAAACCAACTCACTGTGAAACAGAAAGAAAAAGTAAAGAAAGTGATTGAATAATGGACCTTGAGGCTCACCAAACTCAAGATTTATTTCAACAATTTGCTTTTGTAATTAGCAGTGTTGCCTCACAGTATTTGGTGATGGCTTTCAATCAGACCAAAGTTTGATTTTGCAAAGGGGAGCAGAATCTCACACCCATGTGTTGCTGTGCTTCATCATTTCTCTGTCATGTTAAACAGTAGCTCATACATGAYGTTCAGAGCTGTTTTCAGGAGAAAACTCCATTTTGTGTATTTAAAAAAAATCTTATTTATAGATGTTATCCTTGTGTATTTGGCGTTATGACAGTTTTGTCCTAAATTTAGGGTTAGTTGCTACACTGTGGTATTTGACAACCTTCCACACACCCTGTTTCACACAGAAGCACAAAGATTCACTGGGTAGGAGTGTGGCTGAACAGTCCAACATTAGCCATGACACACTGGATATCTATAAAATGTGTCATATTCCTGTTCCTCCTAATAATTGAGAGACCAGATTACACCCACACCCACACCGATGGCACTCACACAGGCTCCTTGCAGGCTTTTAGACATCCATCCGTGTGAACAGCTGAAACACAAAGAAAAGGGATTTTCCAACAACAGTCTAATTCTTTAGCTTTCATGGAAGATAGTCAAAGTCATTTTTCTGAGGATTCAGGATGTTTGCCACAACATGGAACCAACGATCACAAGTTTGCAGGTCAGCTCAACCAAAACTGCCAAATTATGGTTATTTATTATAACTCATTTATGTTAAAATGTTCAGCTATTTAAATATTTAAAACAATTATAAAACACTTTTTTTCCCTCATCACAAACCTTTCCAGGTCATTCACATCCCACAGGAAAGATCCAGATCACTGGTGACACTTTCCAATTCAAGCTTGATGTGAGTGAATTTTCACCAGAAGATGTTATTCTTGTGTCCTCCAACAACCTTTTAGAGGTTCGTGCTGAAAAGGTGAGCCATGTGTTCACTCTATTGTTGAAAATGTAATAAATAAATAAATAAATAAATAAATAAATAAATAAATAAATAAATAAATAAATAAATAAATCTACAGAATGACAGTATATAGATGCAAATGACTTTACAGATCAATGATTAAAATACATTTTCTTGTTTAAAAAAATATATGGATCAACTGCTGTTTGACATTGCAGCTGGGTGAAGATGGTACAATCACAAATACATTTTCCCACAAGTGCAAGCTGCCATCAGATGTGGACCCCTCATCTGTAAGCTTGTCCTTGGAAAGCAGTGGGGTCCTGACTGTGAGAGCTCACAAGGTGTTTTTTTTTTGTCTAAACTTGATATTAAAAATAAAGCTTCAATTTATTTATTTTTAACTTTTTGCTCTGCTATCTTTTTCCAGATGTAACCTCAGCGGTTGGCCTGCTGACCTTGCCTTAAAAAGTGGACTTTAGCGCCCTCAAGCGGTGGATGAAAGCAACTTCTTGGTGCAACATTCACGAAATACCAAAACATGAGCTTCACCAACCTAAAGCGCACTGACTCAAATATAATACATTCACTGTAACTTCCTAGTACATTTTTGATCCTGTTCTGTACTATTTAACAAAATAAAAATGCATCATTGCTTAATATGTTGAAATAAAAACTGTGCATTTCCTTTCTTTTTATGGTCATCTAATATTACGACATGCATTGAATGCAACTGCGGAAACCAACGGAAGTGACGAAACAGGTTGTCAAGACATGCTTTTTAGTTTACGGAAGTTGTTTCATTACCTTCSCCGCTAACATAAAACACCTGATTTGGAGTAATGTCGGTTAACTTAGTTTCTAACTTTAACATAAATAACTATTATATTTAGTTGAAAATGCCACGTTTTGTCAGTTTAAAAGCCGTCTGTCAGTCTTTCTGACTTTAGTTTAACCAACATGGCGGGGCTCGTTCCTCCAGGTTCAGTTATAATC